GCAAATATCAGACCTCTGTAGCCTACTAGGACTCAAGCCCAAATATTATTTTGACGGAAACCATATTATCTTGAAAAGCAATTTTTAATCAATTATTTCATTATTGCTTACATTTAATGCATAGAGGAGATATTTTTTATAGCTCATAAGTCGATATTAAATTAAATTAAAATGCCCGAAATTAGTGAATAAGTGAGCACACCACTGGCATATGGTCGGTATAGAGAAAATACAAAATAATAAGAATTTTGGAAAATACATGAAATGTAAATAAAGAGACTACTAAGTATACTAAAATAGACTATACCACAATAACAATTAAAGCCATAAAGCACAATATATGCCGAAGAATTTTAAAGCATACAATTAAGTAATTTGCAACTATTAACTTATAGCTAGACACCATTGGGTCCATTAAATGATTGATGTGTAAATGAAGTATGTAGCTGATCACTACTAAGTAATTGTTCCTCCCTAGACCCGAGGTAAAATGCCAGCATAAAAAATTAAACCAATAAAAGAAAGGTGTAAAGACCGGGATATTTTGACCTTCAAAGGAGTCGCAGTCTCTTTTCCTTTCCTAGAAGTGGTTTAAGCTTGTGTTCGACTTGGTACAAAAGACAGTTGGTAAAAGGATCGACTTCACTTGTCCTTTTGACAAGTTATAGTGTGGAGCTAAAATGACAAGGCTCACTGACGATACCGACGAAACGTCTGGAAATGTACCAAATCCACGGTCAGATTCTGGAAATTATCACGGACATTATATAATCCAGATAAGATGCAATCCTCTAGGTCTTCCTGACAATACGACCAAGTTATCAAAACATTTTCAAACAACTTCTATGCAAAAAAACCAATTTAGTGATAAATATCACTCCTTGTGGTTATCCAAGAGGAGTAAAAAATGACGTGTGTAAATAGAACTATTTTTGTTTACTTGAATTATGCGCAAAAGCTTGTCCTGAATCCTGATTGGGATGAGGTCATTGCCACCTGGCTGCAAAAACTTAGTAAAATCGTGCAGAGCCTCGCGATTAGCCAGAACAATGTGAAAACGGTAGCCACAGTTTTTCACGCAAGTCTCGAGCAAAGAGAGTGTATAGCCTGCAACGATGTGGTTGAGCATCACTGACTGAGAAAAACGGCGGCGTAAAGCACGAACAGCACATTTCGGTCTTATAAATAAGGTATATGAAAATCAAAATCAGGAAATATAGAATTGGGTTAATTAATTCAAGCACATATCTTCAGATGAAGATAATAAGGATGGCTAAAATTGAGCGATTTTATGTATTATAAGATTGAGGTGTCTTGTATCTAAATTTCTGAATAGCATAAATTGTCAATAATGGACTCATTCGTCGGGAATCAGGGAAAATCCAATGAAATTGCACCATTAACCCTTATTTAACGATATTTAAAATGAGCCTGATGAGGGGGCACCATTGAAAAAAAAATTTATATAGTAAATAAAAGAATATGCAGGAAATGTGAAACCCTGTGTTTCTGGAAAGTAGTATATGCGAGGAGTCTCTTGGTTTACAAATGTTGAACG